GTACCTACATACAAAGCAAGTCTGTTACAGCTCAAGCCATTTCCCGCTTCCCTTAAGCTAGCGATTTCTGCCAATTCAGTCATTTTGACCCAATTATCTCGCTTCCATTGTTTCTTGGACCTCATCATTCCATGTCCTCTTTGTCCGTCCTCGTTTCTTCCTTTCAACATGAAAACACTGCCACACTATTTTCGGTCATGTTTTGTTGCATTCTCTAAAGGTGTCCCAACCACATAAGCCGCTTTTTATTAATGGTATCGAGAACGTTGCTTTCCACTTGGATCCTCTGTCTGATATCATCATTTTTTATGTGTTTGAGCTTGGAGATCCTACAGCTTTTTGTTCGGTAATTAATCTCCATAGCCTTTAATTTTTATCTTTGTCTCTTTATTAGTATCTAGGCTTTGGTTTCATATGTAGAGACACTTTCTATGAATGTCTTATAAATCAGTCGTTTAGTGTCTCTTGTAACTTTTTCACTCCATAATACGGAATTAAATTATCTTATAGCTTTCTTACTCTTACTTTGAGAGATTTTATTATTAATGTACATCAGAGATTCATATATAAGCGAAGGTGACTTTTTGTATAAAAAGTTACTCCAGTCGTCAGAGATGAAAATGCCACTGAACCTCTAAAAATCAAGCTGTTCATTTGGGAACCCCAAAAAGATGCAAAAAATTACCAAAGTTTGATTCAAGTAACCTATCGACAAAATCAAGATGCGTATGAAAGGTAAGGAGTTTAGCTTTCGTCTGCAGTTTTTGTATTTTGCCGCAAAAAAACTCTATCTGATAACTGTGGAGTTTAAATAACTAGAGCCTTTAAAACCTATAGCATGAAATTTTAGTCTTGAGTTTTGGCAACAAATGTGAGGCATGTGAAATATGCTTCAAAAAGGCTGGATTTAAACTTTCACACCACAAATGATCTGAGCCATTTAAAACTTATTTTTATTATACTAGTACAATTTTCAAAAGTACAAAACTTCTGCACTTAACTACACTCAAAATCGTCTTCTTAAATGCATTTCCCGTGACGTGTGATCGTTTGTAATGTAAAACATTAAATTCTGCGTTTTTTATTCATATTTCAAATACCTAATATTTGTGACCACAACTCAAAATTAAAATTCAATGTCATATGATTTAAAAATTAATCTCTAAAAATGGAAATTTTACTACAAATGGTTAAAGAAAGTGATCAATTTCATTGATCTCACAAGAATCGTCAAAAATGGCAAAAATCAGACCACGTAAATTCATTTAACATCTTTATAAAAACTGAGTTTATTTTTAGCAAAATACAAAAACTACATACGAAAGCTGCACTATTTGCCTTTAAAACGCATCTTGATTTTTGTCGAGAGGAAATTTGGATCAAAAGATATCAAATTTTTACCGTCGAGCTGATACAAATTTTATTGAAGATTTATTTCGCGCAAGTAACTGACATGCAAAATCGACGGTCGCTTCAAGCGTTATTTCTAGGAGAACGGTTCATTTTACACAAAAATACTTACAATTATTTTTGTTTAGAATTATCTCAGATACATTTTTTATTTAAAACATTATTTTCTACGGTGTACAGATTTTTGGTAAATCGATTTTTTGTGTTTTAACCACCCTGAGAGGGGGTTATAGAGGGAAGCTCGGGGGTAAAAGTGATTAACGTGGTCTCAAAATTAATATTCTCTGCAAAATTTGGCTTGTTCATATGATTTTTATAGGTAAACCCTCTGACGACTGAACTTTTCAAAAGAACATTACGACGATATTTCACATTTCGCACGTCTAATTCTATAGGGACGTATGTCAAAAACTTAACCTGTTGGGAAATCGCAAAAAACGCTTTTGCGTGTCAGCCATGCTTTCTTTAAAAAATATTTTTTTTGTTTAGAAAATACCTATTCCTAAATACAATACGGTAAGAAAAAAATTTATTTCTTAATTCAAAGTAGTCTTTTTTTTTCTATTAAAATCAAATAATGTATTATACGTCTCTATTAAATTAAATATGTAATAAGAACATTGGCCACTATTTTGTATGTACCTCTATTGAAATAAAATTGTATGAAGCAGGTGTGTCTCATTGCGATATCCGTCAGTATTGAATTAATAAGAAATGACCAAATAACTCATTATGAAGAAATGTGTCTCTCTAGTTAGACCCATAAATTAGTTTCGACTTTTATATTATAATGAGAAATGTCTTCATAGAATTAAAATTAAAATAAAATTTTCGATTTGCATTAAAATTTAGGTCTCTATTGAATTAAAAGTACTGAAGTTATGTGAAATAGCATGTGGTGTTTTGTCTTTTACAAGTTTATATTTTCAATAGTTAAGTTAAATAAAAAATCAAGCTGAAAAATAAACATTTATTTAGAACTTAGTAACTAGAAAAAATTAAACAAGGAAATATTAATTTCGATACAAATATTGTCTTAATTAATAATTTATTTTTATTCCGCGAATTAATCTTGCTGTTACCTTTTCCATTTGCAGTATGTCATTATAGTAATTTGCGTAAAAGTCTGGGATAAGATTTTTATTGAGAAGGAACTTTTTCATACTTTTCTGCGTTGTGAGATTCTTTGTAAAAAAACGATGACGGCTTGTTTTTTTCGACCTTAATTACTTTAGTGTTGTTCCATTTTACTACATTGCCACTTTTGTTTTTGATGAAATTACTCCCCCAGTCCTCTTGTAGACTTTTTAAATTATAGAAACTCTCACACGATAATTCATGTACCATGAATGGTTTTCCAGTTTTTGGTGAATTTTTTATCAATGTTACATACTGCTTCGGTGTATAGATGGGGCCAGATTTTAAATTACGCTTTATTTGTTTTTCGATGAGACTATGAACGTTATCGTCTTCGTTTTGTGTGTGACCGGTGATCATAAATTTATGTGTAATTGATGTTATATTATAGTTTAGGATGGCAAACATGTAGGCAGTAATGACAAATGTGTTCTTCTGTTGTCCGCAGCAGTTATCAGATAAGAATATTATGTCCAAAGGTTCCTGACTTTGATCACTGCATTTTTTCAAATATCGGAGAACACAGGATCCAATGTCATTTGCACCGCGTTTAGCTGTGACCTCAGTCCACAAAAAACAGTGGACATCGCCGTACGCTGAATTGCTCTGTTGTGGGTTTGACAACTCCGTCATTGTGAAATTGTACGAATTGTGCTTACATTTATAATAGAATGAAGACACATCACTATCGGGACACTGGAACACTGCTTGCAGGTTATAAACTACTACTTTATTTGTTGGGGTTATGCCTAGTCTGTCCGCTTCTTTTTGCAATCTGCAAGCCAGTTTCTCTTCATGATGTTTGGCATATTTCTCCTCTATTTATTCTCGACTTGATTGATCTGCATTACCAGATGCGACACAATGGTCGCATTGATCCTTTTTGGGGGTATGAAACAAAATATTGAATTCGTTGTTGAACACATGATAATATGTATGATAGGTGCCTGCCTCCTTATGATCAGTTTCTTGTTGTTGTTTAAAATCTCGATAGAAGTCAGCCAGTGTTATGCTCTTATCTATATATTCACGAGTAGTGGAAGCTCTTAAATAATGGGATTCAACTCGTGGGATTGAATTTATGTACCTCTTGATGTCTTCTATTAGAACGGGATTGATGGTGTGATGATTTTCGTGACGTCCACGCATATCTTTCGTGACTGTACCAGATGAAGTCTTCTTCTCTCACTTTAATACCTTCCACTGTAAGATGAGAAGGTTTATTCGGATTTCTGGGCGTTTCTGTGTGGCTGTACTTGTACTTTGGTGTCACTTCTATCGTACATGAAGTAAGGTATATTCTTTGTAAATTTATGTCATTTTGATTCCAAAACTCTTGAAATAGTGTCAATCTCGTTGCATGATCAATGTTTGCAGAGCATTTTAGTCTGCATGTATCTCCACAAGGGGGCTTGATGTTTCTCGATTCTTTAAGATGTTTGTTATAATTCGATATGTAGTTTTTCCCCTTGTTTCTGTTTTCTTTAAACGTATTTTTTTTCCATTTACTGGGTTGACATAGACGTTTCTTTGATTTCTACTGATCGTCACTTTCTAGTTCACAGGATGATGAATCTCTCGTCGAAGATTTTTCGCTAATTATGTGACCAATGGATCTCTGTGTATTTTTTTTTTTAGGATTTTTTAGTAACAAGTTTTGTTTTTTGCGTTTGGGGATGTCGTTTTCATTTTTATACGTGGGATCAAAATCGCTTAAATTCGCGTCACTTTTGCCAGAATTAATGGGAGACATGTAATCAGGCTTTTTTTATGCAAATTTTTGTGGGATTGTTAGGATCAACTTCAATCATTAACTGTCTTGCTGTTCCTGTTATTGATGAACCATCATTTTTTCATTCTGAGTAGCAGAGCGACAAAGCAATGTCTAAAAAGAGAGTAGAAAAATTAGGCAACTATATAAATAGCTAAAATTCTTCGACAAACTTAAATTTCAGTTAAAAATAGTTTACTTTTAAACTTACACATTTATTTTGTTCTATTGGTACATTCATCAATTGAGTATAAATTTTAGGATTCTCCGTCATATCGGTGTCCTGAAACAACACAAACAAAATTAAGTTTAAAACCGCTGCAGGGTGCATAGACAATATGATTACGAAGAAAAATACTCACACTTTCACCAACGATACTCTCTACTATTGGTGCATTCGATGACTGATATACATTGTCAATTTTCTCAGTGATATCGGTGTCCCGAAACAAAACAAACAAAATTTAGTTTCAGAACGCTGCATGAGTGAGTAGACGTGATTACGAAGAAAAAGACTCGCATGTTTGCCAACAATATTCTCTCCTATTAATACATTTGATGACTGATCTACATTGTCAATTTTCTCAGTAATATCTGTGACCTGAAACAAAACAAACAAAATTAAGTTTCAAAACGCTGCATGGGTAAGTAAACGTGATTACGAAGAAAAATACTCACACTTTCACCAACGATACTCTCTCCTATTGGTACATTCGTTGTCAATTTTCTCAGTGATATCGGTGTCCTGAAACAAAACAAACAAAATTTAGTTTCAGAACGCTGCATAGGTGGGTAGACGTGATTACGAAGAAAAATACTCACACTTTCACCGACGATACTCTCTCCTATTGGTACATTTGATAACTGATCTACATTGTCAATTTTCTCAGTCGTATTGGTGTCCTGAAACAAAATATTAATAACAAATAAACTTTGGGGTCCTGACCTCCAGTAGTGGTAACTTTTCAAGAAACTTATTGTCGAAAGTTATAGACCCGCCATTACAGTGTGTGTACCAGAATAAGTAAAATAATTAAAACGTGAAGATAAGGTAAAAACAAGTTGACAGATACGAGTTTTTTAAAATACACTTACATTTATACTGGCATACTGTTTCAATGGATTTACTTCTGTAGTTTCAGGCTTGTCAGGTGGCCGAATGCCAGTTCTGTTTTCTGTAGTATTAGCTGGCTGTGAACATAATTGTTCAAAAATTAATATAATAAATAAAAATTAATTTCATGACTAACAAATTCTTATATATCATCAAAGTCACTACAAAAAACGGTCAAAAACTTACTTGTGTTGTTTTAAGTAGACCTAATATGCGACGACTTCTTCCATCAATATTTAAGTTTATTCTTTTACTTTTCATTGTCGGATTCATTTTCCTGAAAAACAATACAGTACCTATATTTTTCTTTTGATTTCAAATATTTACATGTCACATTGGGATTTTTTAATTCTATGTAGACACAATATGGTTTACTACGAAGCAATCTGAAGCTTTTTAGTTCTATACAAATTCATATTGAAATGAGGCAGAAATGGCTTATAAAAAGTGTTATATATTTAACACAACACTACCGGAATTCCAAAAGCGTATTCCAAAAGGTATACTTGGATTTTGTATCGCTACATCTTTTTTATAGTCATCGAAATATCCACATTTCAAGTGGCTGGATTTTGAGTAAATTCAAAGTACTTCACAAATAATTATATACTGATTGCATAAAAATCGTGCCTGAATAAACAATAAAGATTAGTCTGCTGCTTGAGTAATAATCCACCATGTCTAATTATTCACCACGCTGATTCCTAACAATTAGCGTCGGGTTGAAAAGAGGAAGAGTAATTACAAACCTAATCAAATAAATGCCCGACACTAATCAAGTCCAATTTAAATATCATAGCCGTTCTCTTCAATAAGACATTCATAAATTCCAACAAAAGCTGCAAAATAATACAAACGGATCAGTATTCTATTCATACCCTGTTCAAAATACCCTCCATCTTCGTAATGAAAAATAAATCAAATTTAGAAAAAAAAAGGGGTAGGCCAGTCAGAAAAGTTTAACAACTAATTAAGTTAATTAATTTGCATTAATTAAGTTGTAGAGTTATTGATTTAATAATAATTATTATAATAAGGTACAACTAAAAATCAAATACAACTAAACATGGCCAAACATATGTAGCTAAAGATAGATAACTAAACATGCGACTATTATAGATACATCTAGACGAAAATAATATTGAATGTTTATTTTAATTTATTTTTAGTCTTCTAAAAATACAAATAATTTATAATATTTAAACCGTACAAATTTATATTTTCGACTGACCTTAAATTGTAATCGCTCTTATTTATATTGTCTGCTGCAATTTTATTGAATCGAAATCTCTCAGCGGCGATAAACCTAACTTCGAACGTTTGAATTGTATCGAAAGGTTTCTAGACTCCTCGTGACTTCATCTTCTTCTTCTTCTTCTTTATATAGTGCTTATTCTTTTCGGATATTGGCGACCATCATGGCAATCTGTATTTTGCAAACTGCGGCTCTGAAAAGATTTGTGGTTGTTGTGTTGAATCACGTACGTAGATTGTTCAACCAGAAAATTCTTCGCCTTCCTGGTCCTCGTTTTTATTGAACTTTTCCTTGAAGAATTAATTGCAGCAACCCATTTCTTTCGCTGTTCCTTATGATGTGACCGAGGTATTAAATTGTAGCTGTTTTTATTGTGGTTAACAACTCTTTTCTTTTTTGCATTCTTCAAATAAAACTTCCTGGTTAGTAACGTGGTTCCACATTTCGTGACGTCATAATAACACCAACACCAACAATATAATCAGAAGCCAAATAGATTTTATAACGATTAACAAAAGGTTTCGTAATAGAGTACAAAGTGCAAAAACCTATCCAAGCGCAGATGCAGATACGGATCATAATCTATTACTAGCAAACGTCAACATTAAACTCAGGAAACCGGAGAAAAAAGTTAAAACTACCAAAATTAACATCAAAAACCTAAAAGACGACAATTGCCAACAGCAACTAAACGCAGAGATAAATAAATTAACTGAAGGAAGCGTTGAATGGGCAGACATGAAAAAAGCCATACTAAAAGCGGGAAAGGAGGTCCTAGGCGAAGCAGAGAAAATAACTAAAAAAGACTGGATGACACCGGAAATAGTTGAGCTAATAACTGAAAAAAGAAAATACAAAAATAAAGATAAAAATAAATATAAAACCATCAAGAATAAAATCAAATATGAAATCAGAAAGGCTAAGGAGGAATGGATGAACAAAGAATGCCAGGAATTGGAAGAACTCAGCAACAAACATGACACCTCAAACTTACATAAAAAAATTAAAGAACTTACAGGCAACACCAGACAAAGAAAAACACTCATAACAAGAGATAATAATGGAGAAATATTTACTGAAGAGAGCAAAATAAAGGAAGTATGGGAACAATATATAATCCATCTTTTCCATGACGAGAGAGAAAATGAACAAGATATAGGTGAAGAAAAACAATACCTACCAATTTTAGCCTCAGAAGTAAAGAATGCCCTACAGAATGCAAAACAAGGAAAAGCACCGGGTCCTGATCAAATTCCAGTTGAACTGTTAAAAGCCTTAGATGACGGTAATATAAAGAGACTCACCCGAATTCTCAACCACATATATGTAGAGGGCAACATCCCGGAAGAATGGCTTAAATCGATATTTTTACCTCTACCAAAAAACAACAATCCCAAATCATGTAATGACTATAGATTGATAAGCCTAATGTGCCACCCTTTAAAGATTCTTTTAAAAATTGTTCAAAACCGAATTTATAAGAAATGTGAGGAACAGATAGATGAAACTCAGTTTGGCTTCAGAGGAGGCCTGGGTACAAGAGAGGCATTATTTGCATTGACGGTACTCTTGCAGAAATGTCGGGAATATAACAAGAGTGCATATGTATGCTTCATAGACTTTAGGAAGGCCTTTGACCGAGTGCAGCATATGAAGTTAATAGATGAATTAAAAAACATCAATTTAGACAAAAAAGACATTGAGTTTATTAAGGCTATATACTGGAACCAGAAAGCAGTAGTAAAGGTGAACGATATAGAAACAAATAATATACCGATTGCGATAGGGGTTAGGCAAGGATGCGTCTTGTCTCCGACGCTTTTCAACGTGTACTCACAGGTCATATTCAGAAAGGCCTTATGGGAAAGAAAAGAGGGAATAAGAATTGGTGGAGAAATCATAAACACCATGAGATTTGCAGATGACACGGTAATTATGGCTGAGAGTATAGAAGATCTACAAACTTTACTAGATGCAATAAATAGTAAATGCATTCAAATGGGACTTGACATCAACACAGATAAGACCAAATTTATGATAGTATCAAGGAGTCCAATAAATAATGAACAACTAACTCTTGGTGGACAGCAAATAGAGAGAGTGACAAAATATAAATATCTGGGAGCTTACATCAACACAGAATTAGATCCAGACCAAGAGATCCGGGTACGAATAGAAATGGCAAGGGCAGCGTTCTTAAAATTCAAACAATTGTTCTGTGACAAAAATCTGAATATTGCGCTGAGACTGAGGTTTGTTGAATGTTACGTCTGGTCGCAATTATTGTACGGGGTAGAAACATGGACACTAAAAGCGCAAATAGTTAAAAAGATTGAAGCCTTTGAACTTTGGATATACCGGAGAATGTTGAGAATCCCATGGACTGCCAGGGTCACCAATGAGGAAGTGCTGAGAAGAATGGGTCGAGTCAAAAAATTGTTGAGAACGATAAAAGTACGCAAGACTGCATACCTTGGACACATACTAAGAAATAATAAATATAGTCTTCTGCAGGTCATCATGCAGGGTAGAGTCGATGGCAAAAAGGGAATAGGTAGAAAGAGGAAGCCATGGCTGCGAAATATTCGAGACTGGACAAACATGACTGTAGACGAATTATTCCACGTTGCAAAAGACAGAGAAGCTTTTAAAAATGTGGTCGCCAACCTCCGTTAATGGGGACGGCATAGGAAGAAGAATAATATCGGGAATTTTATCAAATACCGTGAGAATCGTCGATCAGTGGCGTAGCAGCAGCTTGGACATAACAATATATAGTACTATTGATTTGAAGAATGTAAAAGGGCGCTAGTCATCTGCGCTGCTATATGAAATGAATAATTTAACAGAAAATCAGTAAAACTAATGACGCCACTAACGAGGAAAATCTGTACTACGAAAAACCACAGGAAGACGGCAGTTACCACATGATATTTCTGTAAACATTTAAGTAACGGTAGTACAAGTAAGTGTCAGTTCATACAAAACAAACGAGGATCCCCCACGTTTTATACTGATAGGTCAAAAATCTAAGAGGCTGTAACAGTAGGGGTTACTATGTACTTTTAACACCAGACTGTTAACATTGCTCGAAAATACTTCTATAATATGTTAAGCAAAACACCTAACAATATATTTTTGTACCTAAGTATACCTAAAAAACGCCTTAATTCATCCAAAATATTTATTGTCTTCCACAATCAAGCTGTATTAAAAGCTATGCAGTCTGCAAGTTATATATCAATAACACTTAAAACTACAAATAATTCGTTAAGCAAGTGGCATGGTGTAACAAAGAAACTTTGCTATAAAAGATATTGCTTTCCTTTTGATAGTTTTGAACAATAAGAAACTTTTATCCCACTAGAGCCGTGGAGCGATGTACCAAGTTCCCGCATAGGAAGGATATCCGAAAATAGGAAAAAAAACATAGTCTATCCTACTGGTAAAATATTTTAGGACACAGTCAAGTAAAAAAGTTATTCTAACAATCCTCTCTCCAAAGAAACTTTTTTGTATAGCGAGGAAACCGAACTCAGAGTAATTACGGATGCTACAAAAAATAGCTTTAAAATAATATTAGATTTAAAAAAAAAAAAAAATGTTTTTTGCTAAGCGTTTATTGCCGCAAAAAAAGCTAACAAAAGTTGATTATAAACAGCTTTTCTTACACAATACTCAACGAAGATCACGTTGCTCTAGCCAGGAAGCTTTATTAAGAGCGGGTAAGAATATAAATGTTAAAATATTGCAGATCAACAACAGATAGATAACGATAGATAATTGATAGAAAACAAAATTGAACATTGTGCCAAAGAAAGACACTAAATACAGCTAAACTGTTAAACAAAATGGGCCCCAATAAGTTTTAACCTGAAACTGTACTCAAGATTAAATTAACTAAATAAACATTTGTCTTAAAAAGATCAGAAAAAAACACAAAAAACAGATGTTAGAAAACATATAACCATAAGTTGCAAGAAAATGTTATATTCACAAGAAAACTAAGTTCTTATAG